TCAAGATCTAACGTTACGCAGCCACCATGGTGGAGCAATGAAACTGACTGCCTGTGGAAAGAGAAGGTGAATGCTGTTAAGGACTGGCAAAGAAAGAGGAAGAAACCCAATGTCACAGAGTAAGAAAGGGAGGCTGCTAAAGAGCAGACGAGGCAGGAGGCAGGATCGAAATAAGTTAATACATGTAACTCAAGCAGATCTGACCAAAAAGGCGAAGTGGGAACAGCTTGTAAAAAACGTTGCAGCTGAGAAGGCACTTTCAAAGTTCTGGAAGCTGCGAAAGAAGGTGTGGGGACAGGGTCACTCAAAATCCACATTTAATGTGAAGGAAAAGGCACTCCAAACTCATGAGGAGAAAGGAAGGGCTTTATTTGGCCGATTCAAGCATCAAAACCATCAGGGAAATATTGACCCAAAGAAAGGAAGTTGAAAGAGATGTTTCAAGTGTGCTGACACCAGACATGTATGCAAGCTATGAGGATGCGATTTCTAAAGAAGAGGTTTCCAGAACAATAAAACATTCCAAAGACAGTGCTGGAGGGCCGGATGGTATAAGATGTTGCCACATGAAAGAAGCAGACGACGAGATGATTGAAGAAATGACAAAAGACTTCAACATGAGCATTGGCACTGACAAAATCCCCGAAGAATGATTGCACAGATGGTTGGTTCCAATCACCAAACCAGGAAAAGGCCACTCGGCTCTCAGTGGTTGCAGAATCATAGCCATGCTGAACGCCTGTGGGAAAATTCTGGAAAAGATAGTGAGGATGAATATCAGCCCACTTGGAGAAGAAGCCTGGAAGCTTGGTGTTCCCTCGTCAACAGGACTGTCCAAGACTTGGCTCCTCCAATCACTTGCAACTATGAGATCATCGACAGACAGTCAGAGCTCAAGTATCTGGGAATCGTCTTCGACAGGTCGTTGTCCTTCAACAAGCATGTGAATCATGTGGTACCAAAGGCCAACGAGGTGTTGGTGCAATCAAGACCATGGCGGCCGCTCTGATTCCACAAAAAGTGCTCTTCATGATGTTGCAGCTTGTCGTCCTGTCTGTCATTGATGACGGATTGGGCTGTCTCACGCTGTCTGACACTGATTGCAAAGCTGGATCGAGTGCAGAATGAGGCAATGGGGGCAGTGCTGGGCTTCTCCAAGGACTCCCCAATGTTATGCATGCGCTACTTGCATGCGTGGCTCCAAGTACGCCATAAGATAGCTCAAGCAAAGATGTATCTTAGTGTAATGGGCAAGAAAGATCAATCACTGCACAAAGCACTTCATGACGACAAAAGAGGCAGCATCAAAAGATAAAAGTCTTGTATGGCAGAAACAGAAGATTCTCCCAGAAGAGTCTGTGTACCTGAACATGTACCACTTGGAGAAGAATGGGAACAGGTGGCAGGAGAATACAGGGACCTCACCAAGGTCAAAATAAGCATGGGCAGAGACAGAAGAAATGTTGTGGCTTCTATCAACGAGAGCGATATCAACGAGATTGTTTACAAAAAAACTCAAAAGCAGGGGATCCTGTAATTTATACAGATGGTTCCGTGAAAAGAAAATAGCCAGCGAAGTGGATTGAGATTTGTTGCATTCGCCAATAATAAAATCATCCACAGTGCATCTGGGGCCTGCAGCAGAGCTACATCAAGTATGCGAATGGAAATTGAAGCCAACACGAAAGTACGCTCACATGGATTTTCTGCCCTGGCCATGCAGGCGTTAAAGGGAATGAAAAAAGCAGACGACTGGATGGTGAGGCCACCTCAGTAGACAGTACGGTTTATCCAGACAAGGTCGAGATCCTGAAATGTTTCTCTCGCCACCTGGTTGAAGAGGAAAATAAGGAGGCAGATGCCAGTACTGCTGTGGAGAGGATGATGGTTTCGGGAGTACAGAAAGGAAGTGGAATCTGGCAGCCTTGCAGGAAAGAACAAAAGAACGTTCAACCAGATGTGCACTGTCACAATCAGTAGAAAGACCATCAGCAGCATTTTGGAGAGAGCAACAGAGCATCGATGGACTTGTCCGGAGTGCAAGGATGTTGCTTCCTGAAACAATGAACAATGTACCTCTGAGACCAGACGACCCCGACCTCCTTCAATTGTAAATATCTCGACTTCTATTGAAGATAGATTTTTTTGTTTTCACCAAAAGAAAGGCTAATGGACAGGCTTTAAGATTATATACCAAAAACCCTATATGCCCAAAATTGACGAGCGTCTGATTCCACCACGTCGTGACACTTCTATTTCTGTTGTCTTCTACCCGCTCTGTGTCAGCTCAGTTGTTGGTATAGGTTTTTATTGTCCTCAGAAACCAAGCTGAAGGATTTTTTCATCAGGGCCAGGACGCTGGAGCAAATGGCTGAGCTGGACAGAATCCGGAAATTATCTGAGGCCCGTCTTCACGACAGAAATATGTTACACAGGAGAAGAGAAGAGAGAATTAAGGTACATT